CCCCCTGGGTCGCTATATCTCGACACCGAAACGGCATGATTTGTCCGGTCCTTGGAGGCCTAGTTGTATCCACCATGTCTATGCTAGTAAGACAGGGTAGAGGGGTAGACTTCCCCAAACCCCGGACCTTTAAACCCTAAAATCCCCGGGGCAGGGGTTTCGGGGGGTAGGTTCAAGGTTTGTGTCTATTGCAGGCCTATGGGGTTTAGCTTAGGCTCTAGTGATTAGACAGACTCAATCATTAGGCTACGGCGATCAGTTCAGGCTTCGTGTTTTAAGCTTCGGGTTTGGGAGTCATTTCTGTTTAACCTCTGAACCCCATTAATAACCCTCGAAGCTAGACCATTAACTTTAAGCCTGGACAGGTGCCTTCGTGGTCCCTGGCTTTTCCGGACTTGGAGGCTCTTTTCTTGAGGTTTCGAACTGAGCCGTATTTAGTATGCTGCCCGTGCCAGGATCTCGGACTCCGGCTTCTGGACTCGGAGGTCTTTCCCGGAGGTCTGAGCTCGTCATTGCATGCATGGGACATCCTGGCAGGTCTAACATTCTGCTCGTGGTCTTCCTTGCAGGTCCGAGCCTTTAATCTTTCATGTGATGAGTTTCGGCACAACTTGCAAGGACGTGTCCTGGGCTTTCGTGGGCTCTTGGAGGTCGGAGGTTTTGTTTTTCGTGTTGAAGAGGTTCATGTCATATCTTGGAAGGTCGGCTTTGGCACTCTCGTCGGCCTCCTGGTCTTGCTTGCAGGTCCGAGCCTTTGGTTGGCCTTTACAAATAATTAATTGGGGCATATCCTGCCAGGTCCCATCCCAGATTCTCCTGGACTTCGTGCTCCGTCCTTTGTCTCTATGGGAGGTGTGAGCCTGTTCTCTTGCACCAATGGGACTTTTGTCACATACTGGAAGGTCGGTTGGCATCATCCTCGTCGGCCTTTCTGGGAGGTCTGGGCCTTGGGCTTTTCAGCAGAATCTGTGCGACTGTCATATCCTGCAAGGTGGGCTTTCGCATCTACGAGGTCTGATTCTGAGGCTGTTGCCATTTAATTTTATTCAATGCGACATTAGCCACATGTTGACAGGTCGCCTGGTCTATCCTCCTCGGGCTCCCGGTCTTCATTGGAGGTTTAATTCTTTGGGCCGGGTTTTGTGTGGCATTTTGTGATTGCTACTGATGGGCAGGCTCGAGACTTTTCTGCTGGACTTCGGCGACAACGACGCTGTGGAAGGCCTCCTTGCCCATTGCAGCTTTGTCTGGGATGTCCTGAAGTTTGCTTGAAAGTTTGTGTTGTCATGAGCAAGTGGTTGATGTGACTGCTGCGGTCTGGAAACTCAAGGACATCGGCTGACCTCGGCCTTAGGAAGGACATGACATGTCATTCATGGTGCCAAGGGTGCAGGCAGCATAATTTTAGGTAATGTCTTCCGCCTTCGAAGCCATGGTTGCTCCTCCCCTGGGCGATGAGAAGGACCTATGTCATTATGTGTTGTCGCGATTGTTCTTAGACTTGCTGTTGTACATTCACCCTTTGCCACAGGACTTGTACAGGCCTCGGGAGAGTGGAGAGGCCAGGCGAAAGGCCGTGGTCAGCCGCAACGTCTGGGAGGATGCCCTGAAGGCAGTGACTTGGATCCGTATGGACACAAATCAAAGTCGGGGCAGCAGACAGTGAGCTGAGGTGGTCTACAAGGTCCGCCAGATGGCCCCGGACGTTTTCGCGGCCATGGTCAGGTTGGACCTGGACTC